TATATATATATATTTTAAAATTTTCTTTCTTTCTACAAGATGCAAAAAAAAAAAAAAAAATGTAAAAGTCCGTAAAATACTTGTTTACTACAGGGAATGAATAATTTAAGTGCTTACTTTATGCTGAAAAGTATTAGTGGATGTTACTTTTCTTATTTAATTGCATGTGAAATATGAGAATCAATCCTCATTCAGATACATAAATATATAATAATATTTTGTAGTTATGTTACATGTATTCAGTATTCAAGCTATGGTGACAGCAATATTTTCAGTTAAAATTTTATTTATTTATTTTTTAATTTTGTAAACAGACAAGAAATACAATAGAATAAATGCATTGTAACAACTGTTTTTGAAGCCTTGTAAAATTGAGGCTCTGATAAAACGACCTTACAAGGCCCCCTAATAGAGTCCTGTACCCAGAATACGAAAAGGGTTTACAATATAACTTCTAATCATTTCTAAAACAGTTTCATATATATTTATAAATACACTGGACTGAGTTTAAATACAGCTGTATTCTTCAAAATACGATGATAATTTTTATATTGAGCTGAATTAAAAATTTTTTTTTCTCAAAATTAAATATATTACAGCGAAAACTGTGTGAATTTAATAAAATTAAATTGATAAAAACTTAAGTTAATAATTTACTTTAATTATCTGAAATAATCTCGTATTTTCCCAATAGATGGCGACACGTTTTCTAAATTTTACAACTATTGGAAAAATCAATCAATGCCATCTGGTGAGAGAAATATGGATAAATTGGTTCTATACAGTACTATATTTATAATTTATGCAAATATATTAATAAATTTAATAACTTAAACAAATATAAATACATTTTATTACCTTTACATTAGGATTGTAGAGATTTCGAAAAGCATCCAAAGCAATAGTAATATTTTCAGCACTTTGGTGCACCCAAAGAGCTTGGAGATCTCGAGCTGTACAATGAGGTGGTAAATCTCGTCCTACTATTTTATAAATATGTGCTTTAAGGATATGATGTCCTAATTCTAAAAGTTTGTCGGCATCTAGCGGCGTTTCGAACCTACTCAAGCGAAATGCTATCATAGCATGTCCCATCCTAGAAACACAGACAAGTGGAGGTTCTCTCTGTCGATTGAGAGCTGATAAAGTAGCACCTCTTTGGATTAGCACTTCGCAGATATTACTGTGGCCGGCTGAGCACGCAGCTGTTAATGGAGTTTGACCAGTTAGATCGTCTGTTGAATTAACATCTACTTCAGCCATGTCTAAAAGGAATTCGCAAACCTGGAGAGAAAGAAAAAATACATGATGATTCAAGCGATCGATAGTACATTTGTAAGGTTCAACTCTTAGCTGAATTACTTACTGTAACGTGACCACGCCTAGAAGCGGCTACTAAAGATTGCTGAGCAGCCCTGGCTAGACCTGGATCATCTTTATTGTCAGGAGGCCAGTCGTACTGAATTAAATAACTAACTATATCAAGATATCCATTTAGTGACGCGTGAACTAATGGACATTGTCCATTATTATCCGTTTGATTTATCTGAAAATAAAGTTAATTCATCATTTAATGGTTCGTAAATAATTAACGTAATATTTATAAATTTTTGAAGAGTTTATTGATAAAAATAATCAATATTGCTTTTACTACACAATGATTTATTACAATAGAGTTGTGTAATACATTCGTGTGTGNATAGAAAAAGTTTTCATTCAATTAGGAAAATTGTTTTTGTAGTCATCTGCAAATAAACATGAAGTTGATTTAATCGATTTTTCTTCCTGAATAATAAAAGAATGTTGGAGTTTCTTTGAGGAAACCATCATTCTAGTTCATCAGTTGCATCAACATGAATATTCCAATGTTCTTAAGCAACTTTTTATTATGAAAAATAACCTGAGAAAATTTATTTATCATCATACCACATTGAAAGAACCAATGAGAAATAAGGTTGCATATTAATTTCCTCTTCTTTTTTTTTCAAGAAACTGAATTAGACAAATACTTACCAGGCAACTGGTGAACGAAATTTAAAAAGGTGATGTTTCCTTTCAACATTTTTATTCCTTACTCTCACAATGCAGTTTCCTTTTTTTTTAATATCCATTTTTCAAAAATTTTATAACAATTCTTTCCATTTTTTTTTCTTTTCTTTTTCTTTTTCTCCAAGCTTTTTTTTATAGTTTTGAAAGAGGAAAATCTTTTGTTTCATCTTGTCTGTATTTTGTATGTTGATACGAATTTTATCCGAGTAAAAAGAGTTTTTAAACCCTCAAAATGCATTTTTATCGCTTGTAGTTTAAACTTTTCTATGTTCTGTTGAGTGGGTATTTTGTTGTAAAATTGCTATTTTAAATACCAATATTAAATAAGTGGTGCAGTACATTTGTGTGTGTGTGTGTTTTTTTTTATTATTGTTACCATAAAAAAAAAAGCAGTGTGAAATTATTACGGAAGCTTATTTTAAAAGAAAGTTAAGACATTTGTCATGAGTCTTGTTCGTTTTCTATGAGAAAAAAATATTAAAATATTTATGTTAATCAAATTTGATTGGATTGATGGAATTTATAAAGTAAGATTTAGGACAATTTAGAATGAAAGACAAAGGAAAAAAGAGGAAAGAATTGAGGATATGATTGCGACAAAGAATCTAGATGATGTGAGAAGTCACATGATGATAATGATGATATTTTATAGTGTGAGAATATAATTCTCCATATCTACATTCAATAAATAATTCAACAGCTATTATTGGATGATATTAGAAAGAGATATTGCCACATCATCATCACTTTACCCTTAACTCTTAATATTAGATAAAGACAAACAGACTAACAAGCTGAAAAGAAAAACTACTTTTAATCAGTGTAAAATTAGTTCATTTCCACAGAATTAATTGTAATTAGCTGACAGATTTATTTCTTACAACGAAATTTACAATGGATTATGTCAAGAAACACATCAATTGAGTGTTTAAATCTAAAAAAAAAAAAACACAATGGAAATCACTCAGAATTGTTTTGTTTCCTCTCTAATTTCATTCAGTAAAAAAACGATATTGCACGTAAATAAAAATTTAATCGTTTCTATCAACAAAATAATAATAATAATTTATTATTATTTATTTGATATGCCCAAGTAAAAGTCAAAATAATAGTATTATACGAAGACTTGTTTTACAAATAACGCTCTTCATCAATAATTGAAAAGCAGATGCGATATTTGATTTCAACTTTGGAAGACTTAAAAAAAAGAAAAAGAAAACAAATTCAATGAATTATATTCAACAAATACAATTGAAAAAGACATTTCGAATTTAATCTAGAACATATAAAAGCTATTTTCTTATGAAACGAAGCATAGATTTTATTAATGCTATTGTAAATATTGAAAGTAGTAACCTTAGATACAATAGTAAAAACCGAGAAAATTGGAAGCATATTGTTTAAAAAAAAACCAAGTTAAATTTGCAAACGTAACGCAAAATTTGATAGAAAATATCTCCCTTTTATAAGTTCTCTCTATACAGGAAGGGTGGGCCAAAAGTCAGTTGACCGTGTTTAGCTTGTATTCCAGATGTTCTGTGAACTGAGTATAAAACAATGTGATAATAAAGGGAAAAAAAACAAGTCGTACCAAAATTGGTACAGCTTATATAAAACGAACAATTTATAATAGTTAACTGACTTTCGGTCCACATGTTTAAGAGCTTGTTTATTATTAATTTCGATTTAAAAAATAGGAAAATTTCGCTTATATATAACTTTAAAATGCTCATTTTTTTAATCAGAATTGTAGTTTTTTCCTCTCCAAGAAAATATTCAAGTTTTTGGGTGTAGAGGAAAATTACAGGATTTAACGATGGAACCGTTATATTGACAGATCTGTCACGATAAAATCGATGAAAAACATAACAAAAATAGCAAAGAATCGATCCTGATCCTTTTCCTAACTTTATAACATTAATTAAAGGAGTGTTGCAAAAGCTTCGAGTATATTTTTTCCTAAAATACCTTAAAATAACATTAAAGGACAAGTTAAAATTAAGTATTGAAGAAATCAATACTGTGAATACGATTTTCTTTTTTTACTAATACGTGTAGGATTCATATAAGAAGGATACAGGAGATAAGCAGAACTGAAGAAATAATTGATAACACTCGTTAAAATTCAATTACGGATTTAATAAAGGAGCAATAAAAAATTAATATACACAGTTTTATACACGGATAGTTTGAATTCTTGTTTTTAATTTTAGATATTATCAGAATATCATCTGACAGCAGTAAGAGCACAAACGATTTAATAAATCTCAGATGACAAATGTTAGCCCTAGGCTCTGAAAAGGTGCGATGGTCCCTGTGCCACTCACAAATAAACCTTTCCAATCAATTTATATATATATATATATCGAATATATTTTTTAAAACAAATTTTCGGACTTTCCCATGTCTAGAACTTAGAACAAATGACCTTGTTTGAACCTTCTGTCGAATCTATTTTAGCCCATTAAATCGACATAGAATGTGTTATGATTTTTTAATATTTTAGCTTAAATATATTGGATTTAATATATAAAAAAAGCCACATATTTTCATAAAATATCTGAAGAGAAATATATTTTATATATTATAAAATAATTATTTAAATTTCTACAATATTTTAAAGGGTTGTTATGCCATTGTTATTCAAGCTCATTTTAGATTTGATCTTTAGTTGAATAGTAAATTACTGACAGGATATCATCTCCTTGAGGCATTTAATTGAAGATTTAAGAGGATCTCTTTCAATTACGGATGGTTTAAACAGTGTTAAAAGATCACAGTTTCAAGTATAAAGCGGGCTTGATGATGATGATGATGATGATGATGATTTAAGGTTTAAAAAGCAAAATGTACTTTAATAAATAATAAATTAAATGTTTGTTTGAAGAGAATTCTGCAAGTAAGATTAAAAGGTAATTTAATTGTGTTTTTTGGATTAATGAAAATATGCTTGAAAGAATATTTTAATCACTTGGGAATCAGTGGAAAGTTTATCAATTAACTTTTTTTTTTCTTTTCTTTTCTTTCTTCTTTTTTTAAAAATGCAATCAAGATAAATCAGTTATTTTTATTACTATTTGCCTAACCGAAATTTTTCCATCAAGCAGTTAATATTGATCGATGGCATTCATTCTACGATATCAAGACTGATAGGAATCAATGCAGGCCATTACCGCCTACTAATTAAAAGTTGTTCAAAGTCCTAATTAAATCTTACCTAACATCACATAAAAATTTGGCACTTTCATTTTCTTCTCTTCTTACTAACCATTCCCTGAGAGAAGGATGAGCTAACATGACAGTTTTATCTTGCCTGGCCACTAATAATTTCGATGACATCAAAACGTCGACTCTTTGCAAGAATTCGTTCCAGCTAACCGGTTGTTTGATGCAATTGGCATTAACACTATGATAAATATCAGTTAGAGTGAGTGGTGAAAGTGTAGCTAGGCACACTTGTAAAATGGAAGATACCTGAAATGATCGTGGAGTAACCAATATTAAATTTTATATATATATTACATTAAATTAAATATAAGATGGCTCAAAAGTCATTTATCCTTGTTTAGTTTGATTTCTAATTTCCTGTAGGAAATTCATATAGAAATAACTAAAAAAGTGTATTAAATAATGTTGAATCTTCTATATTTTTAGGGCATTTAGTTCTATAGATCCAACACTCTTCTTTTAATTATACATACTTTATATATGGAAATCCATATTGTCTGTATAATTTGAAGAGTGTAAAATAGTTGGTTGGTTAATGAGCAACACATGGGCAATCTGCCAGGAGGAAATTCTATGGGGAAAGTGTTAGACACGTAAAAAAAAACCCGGAACTCCACGCAACCAGCTAGTTAATTCAGGCGCAAATCTTCGACCAACTACCACAGTTTTTTTTTAATCCATTTGTCCACTTGTGAGCAGTATAAAATATGAATTTTTAAATCGTTAACTGACTTTTGGGCCACCCTGTATATTTATAATTAAGCTTACCCTTTCGAATGATTTAATTGTAGTGAATTTAAGATTAAAACTTAGTAGATAAACTTCACTGAGACTAACAGGTAATACTCTATAACTACTACTCTTTACAACCAAATGACCTTTTTCAATGAGATCTAAGGTGAGTTTAACGTATAATATACAACCTTTACTAAGAGATGCAAGATGATTGGCAAATCTAAAGGAAAAAAAAAATAAAGAATAATTTAAATAAATTTGTAAAACAAAAATATAGAAATTATTATTTTAATTTACCTGTTATGAGATGTGCCTTCTAACTTATTATTATTTATAGTTATGTTCGCTCTTATAGTAGAGCTATTATTTATACGATATATAATATAACTTGATATATCTTTCTGAAGATTTTCGTTACCAGACATTCTATCTAAACTAATTCGATGGAACTTTAATGATTTGACAATTTCCATAAATGATGTTCGAATGGTTATTACTACCTGAAAATATAAAGATATAAGACCCAATTTAATAAAGAAAATCATGGGTTTAGGCCTATATTATTTTAGATTCTTTCAGCCCTAAGAAGGTCTTTTTCAGCAAGCCCATTATGGGTTTGGCCAGGGACCACAATGAAGCGAACACGTGGTGAGGGACTGACATACCCCGAAAAATTCTTGGGGTTTACGTCGATTTGACATCATTTCCCCCCCCTTTAAATAGTTCTAGCGCATATCTTATTAACGAATTTTCTACGATTTTAAAAATTCATAGAAAATTTAGAATTTTAATGGTATAATATATCGAATTTTTCGACAAAGATCCTGCATTTAAGAGGGGGGGGGAAAATTATAAATCGATGAGGTGAATAGTGAAAAAAATTGCAAATATATTTAAGTTAAAAAGTTATAAGCTTATGTATTAAATTTTGTACATTTGTACATACATTTTTGTCTAATTTATTAATTAGCTGCTAAACTATTCCCGTGTGATCTTTAAATAACATTATTTTATCAATTGATTTCAAAAGTACACTCAAGTTTGCAGTTGTCCTGACGATTAATTTTCTTTCCAAGTAAGTTCCAAGAGAAAAAGTTAAACAAAAAAAAATAGAAACAATATTTTTGTTTCTTTTTTTTCTGAAAGAAAAAAACGAAACAAACAGAGTTAATAATGGTGCCATTAAGATTAACGAAATAAAAACCATATACAGTGAAACCTGCTAATGTGACCATCTGTGTAAGATGAACACTTTGAGTTGGTCATATTAGCAGGTTTCACTATTACATCACTTAAGAATTAATTTACTACGAAAGAAATTTTTAATGGAGGGGATTCACTGAAAATTATTAAATAGATAAATTTAATTTAATTTTTTCCTAACCCCTGTGTTTTTCTCCTGTAAAGAAAACTTAAAATATAAATTAGAAATGTAAACGTAAGCAAGTTATATATTTATTTAAGCTTCTTTAATGTTTATCAAAAAAGAAAGAGTGGGCCAGGGCTTACTCATCTCCCCCATTTCCAGAAACCCTGCTCTTCAATAAGCCAATATTTAAGGTAATTTTGATTTAAAAAATAAATAAAAATTTCCCTGTCTCGTTTCACTCTTTTCACCTCGTAGGCCAAGGCATTTTTTTCAGGTCCATTGTGGGTTTAGCCAGGTTTATAAAGGGTGCAACCAGATGGCAAGGGGATGAAGTCTTAATCTTCCTCGGCCATTCAGCCAGAAAACGTTCTTTGAAGAAAAATCTATCATTATAAATTTCAAATCATAGATTTTAATATACTCACTTTTAACCAAGAAGGAAATTTATGGATATGCTTTGCTATAAATGAAGCAATTGTATCTCCATAATCGGGTCGATGAAATTCAGCTTCATTCAATGCATCTACTACCATCAAGCAGGGTGTATTTGGTATTTTGTTAAACATTCGTAAACTTTGTAACGGTTCTAAAATGCCTTTAACAAATGCCGTAGAAGAATCTGATACGCATGACCTCATGTTCAACAATTCTTGGTACCTAAGAATATGAAATATTAATTCTCGTACAGATATAACTAAAATGTATTATAGTATAACGCATAAAGGGATGTTTAAAAGGGTATATTAAGTAAACTAACCTTGGTTCTCGTACCACCAATTCCCTGTAAGCGGCTAGTTGAGGTGCTTGACATAACTGAGAAGCCATGTTGTGTACAAACTCGGGGACTAAACACGTGACATTATTATCTGCTTGACAAAAATGATAAGCAACAAGACGACTACCCAAAGATCTCGCTGCTTCTTGATTAAGACTGATAACAGATTGATACAAAGAACACCCAGTAGAATACGAATCGGCCGACGTAATGGAGTTAATGTCTGTGAGAATAAATGTAAAATTACTTCAAGAGAAAAGTAAATAATTTTAAATATTTTTCCTCATTAAATCAAAAGAAATCATTAGGACTTTCAGTTAATTAGCTTACGAAGTGAAGATACATCAGGTCAATTTACCTTCATAAACAGCATCAGTTTTCTTCCTACCGAAAGAACTGTGATCTACTAATTGTAAAATTGTAGCTGATTTACCACTACCCGGTCCACCTTCTATTATAACTCCTCTGTTTGATTCGGAATCGGTTGAGGTTAATTTCTTAAAAAAAAAAAAACAAATTAAATTATTCACATTCACAATAGAAGAGTTAATTTTTATTACAGTCGAACCTGTACTAACGGACACCTGAAAACGGCGGACATTTTTGCAGAAACTTTCTCTTTTTAAATGTATACAAAATTTAAAAAAAATGGCCGTTTTTTACAGGTTATGTTCCCGTCAGTGGCCGCTGTTCACAGGTTCGACTATGTTTTCACTCGTTAATTTGCAGAAATTGGTATGAATTTTGCTCGTGTTTATTATAAAAAATATCTTAATTGTATAAAAGTAAAATAAAATTAACTATTACAAAAAGATTTTAATGAATATTTTGTAATAAATATTGTCAAACGAAAGCAAACAATAAGTCGTATATTTTTCTATTAATCATTAATATAATTTAAGATGTAATTATACAATACTACAATACATTGTCTTATTTATAATCAATATGAAAAAATATCCAATTAATTTATTAAAAGAAATCATTAAATTTCATTTATATTAAATGAAAATTGTAGGATCTTCAAAAATTTTACAAAAATATTGAAATTCAACCGACTTATGTAACATCAATTAAACTGTTAGAGGAAACAAAACAAAAATCGATGATATTATCTCGAAAAAGCTTCTTAAATTACAAATAAAATTAGTAAACTTATTCATTAAAATATATATAAAAAAAGTGTTTTATATAAGAAAAAACAATATGAAGTTATTATTTCTTCATTTCCATTTAAAATTTACCTGTTCGATTTCCTTGAAGAGCCATTGTCTTCCAAGAAATAATGGTTCTTGTTCATTATGGGGCACTTCAAAATATAAGCATTTCAAATCCGTATGAGACGTTGATCTATAGTTGTGATTACGAACTATAAATCGCAAAAATATATACCATTAATATTCTTTTCTACTTAATTCTTTTATTGTTTTTATATTATACTGATGAGAACATAATTTTCAATGGAGGAAAACAAAGGAAAAAAAAACATCTTCCTTCGCTTGTTTTAAAATAAAAAATAACCATTAAAATATCTCTTATTTAATTACGTTCATTTAAAATATATTTAATTCATTTATTTGGTAAAAACAAGAAAAATATAAATGTCGTCTAGTAGCTTTTATATAGAAAAATAAAGTATTTCTATTCGTTGTGTGACGATAAAGTCTCGTGTGTCGAAAAGTCAATATTAAAATATAATGGAAACATTATGAAAATTTAAAATATTCTTGTAAATATATATATATAACTGAATAAAATTTCTTTTAAATAAACTTATAACATAAAATTTCGTGTAAAAACGCTTTTAAATTTATGGTACCTCTTTTGGGATTTACATGATAAATAACCTAATTGAAATTTAATTTGTACAATTTATATATATACTGTATTTCAATGCATTCGAATATAAAGAATTACTTAAAATAATAATAAAAAATATATTTATATCAAAAGATTTAGCAACGATTTATTTTGTTTAAATGTTTTGTGTCTCCTTTAACAAATAAGAAAATTCAATACTGTATTTGCTTATTGTTTATAGGCTAATTACTTTAACTTCTATAACACCTTCCCTAAAAATTTCAAATGTTGAGATGCTATTACTAGATATGACCCTGTTAATTCTGAGCAACAAGCATAAGAATTATCCTTAAGTAATTAAGGATAATTCTTATGCTTGTTCCATCCTTATCGAGCCAACGTTTCAACACTTCTCCATCACTACCTCTCACATTTCACTCGATAAAAATATGTTTCAACGAAGGATATTTATATATATATAGATAAACAGATAGACAAACTAACAGACATTTAAAATAGTTTTTTCAATAATTAAAGATTCTTATAATAATTATATCCAAGTAAGTAATAATAATAATAATAATTTAATTATCTGTTATATAATTTGCTAATTATAATGAAAAATTAAATATTTAATATATTTTTAATTTAATTTTAAATAATTACTTATATATTTAATTAAATATATCATTTATACAATTATATAAATTTCTAATATAATTAATTAAAATTAGTAAATTATTAAACCTTAATTTTTCACATAACTTTTAATATTTAATTTTATAAAGGATGGCCCAAAATTCAATTAACATCGTTTATTTTGTGTATTTCAGATAAACTTTCGAAGCTTTTTAAAATAATAAAGTATTCGAATAAGATAGAAATTCAGCTTTCACAATGGTTAACTGATTTTTGGACCAACCTGAATAAGGCGAATTTTAGAATTAAATAGATTAAACTATATTAATTACCTGTAGCATCCAAACCAATTGTACCCGTACTTCTGTTAGAACGTCTGAATGCTGTACCTCTTTTGGCAAACTGAAGGAATGTATCACTAGTTCCTGAAATAAAATTTAATATAATTTTCTGGCGCTTTTAAAATTGAGGAAAGTAACGAATAATACTTACTTGTAGGGAGATTTCTATGAAATGTGGATGCAATAGGACTGGCTGATGAACTGTGACCTGTACTAGTGCTCGTGCTCATGAGAGATGCAACACTATCAGAACTATGTTCTCTGTTGGCGCAGCGAAGACCACTGAGTGGTGCCAGTGGCTCAACATCTGAAGAACCTGTAGATTTCGGTACCAAAATAAACTACATAAAGTAATGTTTCAATAACATTACGACAATCAATTGTTAGAATTATAATATACTACAATATTGACTTTTATAATTATAATACGCTGCACAATATTTCACTTATTAACACTAACAGATTAATGAAAAGATCTTTCAGAAAATAACTTTTATTTTATTTTCTGAATAAAAAAATAAATAAGATAGAAGTTTATTCAACGTCTATGATTATAAATTGTAATTAACTTTTAAGATTTTTATCTATTAGTCGCCTATTATAAATCAAGTCAGAAGGAAGGTTATGCAATATTATTTTCATCGGGCCACCAGCAGAGTTTGGGACAAATCTGATTAGATCCAGATTTTCTTGAAGAAGATCGTTGATCTTTTAAGTAGGTTAAGAAAAAATAAATTATAACAAAAAATATATAAAGTGATTAAAGGCATTAGTTGTGTTTTTTCGAGTTTAATGATGAGAATGAAAATATTTCTTATATTTTACATTAATTTCACCATAAAAATGGAAGATTCTTAATGTTCTTGGCTTTTAAAAATTCTACGTGATTAGATGCTATTTCAACTCAGTTAATTGGTAAATTCTCTGGCTTCTTAATAGTAACTTATATAATAGGATAAATTGTGAAAGCGTAAAATTATGACAATGACAAATGATCCAAGTGTTTGAATGCGTGGAAACTAACGCACGTTTTCTCTTAAATACCGTGTTATTTTCATAACACGATACAATTTTACATAATTCAATCATTTCATTATAAACTTTGCTTCCGATTCAACTCAAAAATGCTTCAGGACATTAAAAAATTTATCACAGAATGCTTCAAAGATCTAAAATTGATGGTTTAGACATTGATATGATTTCTGATAACAGAAAATATTATTATTTAATGTATTTCCTTTAAGAAATGGTGCATTATAATATAAATCTAACCCTCAATACACATTTACAACACACAAAAATAATCAAGAAAATTGTTTCGTGTGAATTTTAATATATAATTTGCTTCATTAATCCTTTCACAACATGGAAGTAGTATTATTAAGTGATGCCATACAGAGAGAAGAGGGAGGAATGCTACTAAAAATATAGAAATAGAACCTAGAAAAGGATTCTGATTCATATTTACCGTACGATATTAGTTTTTGAAGCATGTAACGTATAATCAACGAACCCCTGCAGGTTATTATGTAATCTACCACATAAAAAAAATCCCCAAAATGGGTCAGATTCATTTACGAATATAGATAAAGGTCAACCCATAAACAGTGGAATTCTTTAATATTATGTCGATTAAAACCACAATTAAAATGGTAAAGTGGGATTATATGAATTTTATATATAATTCTGGCATATATATATATATATATAATTATTAAAATAATAATAAGATTCATGCAATAAACAGAGCGAGCAATAGGCAGAAGTAAGAAAAATTCTTGAGATATTTTGCAAACCCATTTTTCATTTTCACATCTACAAAACGATGAATATTACATTTTATTTTCTTCAGATTTATGTCATATTTTCTGGAAAATATTCCACAGTGCGGTTTCAATATAAGGAACTATCCTTTACCTTTTTTTACCTAATACCAGAATTATTGACTGTGTGATATGACAACTATTGAATAGGTTTAAAGGCTAAAGGTTTCGTCTTGAAATTTCAGCTTCAATAAATTTCGATCTTTGCAGTTTATGAAGGCCATCTTTACAAAGGAAAACTCCTAAATAGATCTCTGTGAACCTATCGTAAGCAGCATTTCGAAAATTATGAGATGCTTCCTGCTACTTGAAAGGAACTGGAATATCCTAAACGCGACAATGTGAAGCACATATAAAAAGACGAAGTCATTTTAAACACCTGCTCTAACCGATCTTCTTCAACCATTCAATAAAAAAAAAGGTGGATATATATTTTTTTTCATTTCAAATTGCCGTTTCATTTTATTGTCATAATTCCACGTTATGAAAGTGAATGAGCTGATTTGTTAGGGTTTAAAAATGTATAAAATTATTAAATATTTAAGAAAAAGAGGAAGGAAATCTCTTCAAAATATAAAATAATTTTACATTTTTAACACTTTTTTAAAATTAAATTCTATGGTTTAAGCCTGTAGACCTTTATTTCAGGCTATTTTTATGTTAAACAATTAGCTACTTTTCAATTATTTTAAGAAAAAATGGCAACAACTCACACTTCACTTTAAAACTAGAAATAAAATGTTATTCTATACATTAAATATTTAAATTTTATTCATTTATATTTCAAAATATATTTTTTTTTAATTAAGAAATTTACCATTTATCAATATTTTTAATGTATAAAACAAAAATAAATAAAGAAAAACGTGTGGAACAGGTAAAATATAATATAAAAGTTAACGAATTAATTAGAATTAAAACTTAAAATATATAAATTTAAGTTTTATACAATTTTTTTATATTTCAGACATTAAAAAAAATAATTTTTCAGTCTGAACAATAACATTTATCATTAAAATTACGTTTATTTTTCCTTGCTCAAACTTCATTTAGTGAGCTCGCTTTGAAAAAAAAAATCAAGCAAAATTTTATAAATTAATTATTAAAGTATATAAAATTTATTTCATAAGAAATTTTTATAAACATTCTATTGTTTTTTTATGTAAATTTACTTCCGAAAATTTCATAAATAATTTAATCTAACACAAGTATAAAAAAATTATTTATATATATATATACATACAATAAAGCAAACTGTAATGCACTGTGATGTCATAAACTAGTCACCATGCTTAGTTTGTACGTAGCAAGATATCGGTAAAAGATGAATATCCCTTCTGAGTGGTACAGCTCAGAGAATCTTAATTTCATCTGCAACTTCTTACTTGTGCAAAACTGAGTTTGTCACTGTGATAAAAACTAAGCATTGCACNTATATATATATTACAATATAACAGCTCTATATATACATTTAATTTTAACTGTAAACAAATTCTATAAATTGAGTACATAATTTAATAAAATCCCAACGTCTAAAATGCAGGGTGGCCCAAAATTCGGTTAACCGATTGAATTGATTAGACGAAATTATCAAAGAATTTGTTAAATTGTAAACACTAAATTGTAAGACTGCAATTTAGTGTTTACAACGGTCAACTTACTTTTGGACCACCCTGTAATATTAAATTATTAATTAAAATTAACGTTTACATTTAAATGATTGTTAAATTATAAAAATTAAAAATTATATATATATATATATATATATTTTTTAAGTATATAATTAAAGTTAATTGTAATTTAATAAATAGATTTAAATCATTTTCGTTTTATTTTTGTTAGTATTAATAAATCCAACAGATGGAGCCAAATGTAAATTTTATTAAACATGGCAGATACAATGAGTGCTGAACAATTTTATCTCCAAGCACAGTTTCTTAAAGAGGCGAACACAGGGAAGCTGCAAACCAGACCTTGTGTATTTCTTTTTACACTGCTCCTTTATATTGAACAATAGGAACAACACGTTTCTTCAACGGATAAAAGGCTTCAAATAACTTTCGAAACAACTCTCCAATAACTAGTTATTGACTTAGAATATTATAATCTACTTAAAAAACAAAAAAAAAACTTCCAACACAAACAATATATTTGACAGAAGTATAACCTACCAAAATAATAATTTTTCTATATTGTGTAATAGGAATCTTGCACGCTCCCACTGGAAGGAGCGTGAAAGGTGCTACAGCATCTCCTCAATATCAAAAAGCAATCAGTTATACTATTTTAAATACAAGGAAAACAATACAAAGATACGCATCGCGTGTCGTTAACTACTCTCTTTAAAATCATTCGGAATATATAAGTAAATATGATATGCATATAAAATAATTAAATGAGTAAAAAAATAAAACAAAACACCTCGATATAGTGCCCTTCTCATAAAGCACCAATGATTATTTGTGAATAGATCTAACTCATAATTATTAGCCTATATAGAGAACCCTTTAGTGTCTGAATAATTATATTCGTGTGTATGTTATAAACGACATTGACTTCCATTCTCTCAAACTAACTGGTGTATAGATTATTATTGTATTTAATTATTATTGTTTTAGGTTCTTCAATTTAGCACATTACACTCGATTTAGCGCCAACTTTAGGAGGCTAAATCAAGGTTTGACAATAACAATACGAATTTTCTCAAGATCCTTTAAGAAATTGAAAGGTATTCTTTAAAAAGAATGAAAGTTATATTCTTCTAGATTTTATATAATAGAAACTTTTATAATTCTTTTCAAATATAAAATGAAAATTTACATTTTAAAAAAAAATTTTATTATATTCAAGTTATTTTGACTTTTTGTCAAAATAAAATGAAACTTTATAAATCCAAATTTTTACTGCTTCTGTTTTCCTTAATAAAAAATAAAATAAAATAAAGTTTGATAACTTCTCCAACTAAAACAATTTTTCTCCCCCCCCTCTCCTCTCGAATAATTTATTTAAGAAATTTTTAATAAACTTCTTACTAATTTATTTTATTAAGTTTTAATCAAAAAAATTAAAAGAAAATATTTCAAAAATGTTTTATAATTTATTAAAAATTCAATTTATTTTTTTTCCTCGAAAGCTTTTAATCACATTAAAAAGAAACCAAGAAATTTATGTAATGCAATGTTTTTTTTAATTATTTATATTGAATATAAATATACATTTTATAAGTAAAAATATTTAATATTTAAGTAAGTAAATTTATTTATAATTTTACGACTCAGAAAAATTAAAATTTCAATATATTTTTTTTTCCTACTTAAATAATCTTATATGGAATTAAGGTATTAAAAAAAAAAACACTAGAATCTTTACTAAATACTCTAAATATAGCATAATAAATATACTTTTTTTTCTAGAATTTATCACAATTCTTATCTGAGAAGATTAGGATATGCAATTTATTCTTCTTAAGCATTTTGCAATCCTATAAGTAGAAACAGCAAGGCCTGAAGCAATATCTGTCTATAAAAAATACATTTATGTCACTTTTTCAAGAAAACAATATTGTACTTTATTCAAGATGAGATTTGATACGGAAAAGTCTAGCCCAAGGCTTACTGAAGTCAAATTTAGTAAGTGCTCATCCGTTCTACCATTTGACATCACAATTGACGGGGGAGATAACTTCCTTTTTTTTTTTCCTTATTTTCTTGATCATTTGAACAATTTCACATTTCTGTTTCTTTACAAAATTATATTCCATGTCAAAATAGAACAATACTAAACTAACAGCTCTATATATACATTTA